GCATAGAAACCAGGTCCTAATAGATAACTTTATTTTCATGTACCAAATGTCCTTAAAAACAATACATTTTCATCCAGGAAATTATATATAGTCCAAGGGATTAAGTTAATCCATAGTCCATCAGTGTACCACCATCCAAGGAAATGATAGAAGGTGATGAAGAGATAGTTAGACCTGCCAATGGGTCGTGTCCATGTCTGGTGGGTTCCACTCTCTTTCCAACACCACTAATCATTTCATTGAATGGCAATGACCCAATGGGATCTGGTCTTCCATAGTCCCAGAAGAATGGTATATAATTTCATTGCCACAAAAAGAATGGAAAACTTTCCTTTTTTCCATTTTACACACTATTAATCCAGTGAGGGGTAGGACGAACCAATGCAACACATTCTCTCAGCATACACTAGGGTTTTTATGTCGTCCTATATGTTACATTGATTTAATTACAGGCTGGTAGTCTTTCCCAATGCACTAATTACCTAATATTCCACCAGTAAGCATTCCACATGGTTTATTAATTTATGACATGAGTCATATAGATTTTGGCATTTCGCCAATATTGAATTGGTTCACACTAGTTTATAGACATGGTGAGGAGCTTAATAGGTTAAATGATTTAGCTTTCAACAATTCAATAGTATTAAAATATTTATCTTTTGGTAGATTATCAAAATTCGTTCATAATCATGAATGAGCTTCAGCTTGTTGGAGTAGATTGCTAACTTTTGGTTTTTCCTGGAAGTAAGATATAGTATATTCCTAATTGTATTTAGATAAGTATGAAACAACATCGGCTAGGAGCAATGTTGTTAAATTCGCTTCTCTTCGGCCGAAGAGGCCGAAGTCTTCGGATTTTCAGCCTAGACCGAAGCGCAGCGAAGCTCCAGTGCATTCGCTTCGGTCGACTTTGGTTTGATTTGGCCTCTTCGGCCGAAGCACAAAATTGCCTTTTAAAAAGACAATTTTGTGCTTTGGTCTGATTAGGCCCCTCGGCTAAAGCTTCGATCCCTTCGGCCGAAGCAAATAATTGTCATTTTTTTATTGAATTTTTTATTTTTTATTTTTTATTTTTTATTTTTTATTTTTTATTTTTTATTTTTTATTATTTTTATATATAAATATATATTTTATTAATATTATTTTTTTGAAAAATTCCAAAGTCTTCCTTCAAATCAGCCGAAGGACCGAATTGCTTCGATTTTCCGACCAAACCGAAGAAGACTCCGAAGCGAATCTGACAACACCAATTAGGAGGGACATTTAAGCTCATATGGAAGCCTCTAAAAGAGCAACAGAAAGGCCCAAAGGGTATAGATGAAAATAGTGAGAAGATATATGGTGATTTATGATCTAACATAAGGCGTAGCCCTTGACAGAGCTCAATTCATGTAGCCAACCTCGAATAGTTGGGATAAGGCTCGGATGATGATGATGATGATGATGTATATAGATAAATTAGTATTGATAAAGAAGCTCCTCTTGAAAACCTAATTTTTGCATAAACAAATCAAACCCAAGACTAAAAAATTTAGCAATAAAGAGACAAACAAAAGCAATGTCAGTGAACAAAACACAAATAGAAGCAACGGAAATAAAAGATGGAAATAAGTAACTAACAACAGAGGCCAGCAAGCTGAAAGAATATTGCATTCTTTAAACGAACAATGCACGATTACATTCCCTTAAAACTACCACCAGAAAGTTCAACAACAGTTCTTATGAATAAATATTGCCTAACAACTCTTTTTAACCAGTCCAAAGCATACCAATCCCATCACTAAATATTCACAAAAAATAGTCAATCCCAATGGCTCAAAAATACATGGAGAGTTCCCTAAACCATAACTATGCCCTAAAAATGCAATCGCTTCCATGCACTAACCATAGCTCTGAGAAGCAAGCAAGAACCAGTTACGAAACCACAAAATCTCTCTCAGACATTGACAGAAACAAAAAGATGTTTGAAGTAGAAAACAACCGCGAAAAAAGAAAAAAAAAATCAAATAAACAAACAAAACCAATCGAGACAAAATATAGAGGAAATACCTGAAACTGAAATCCCAAAAAGAGCAAAGAGAGAAAATTAGGGCACAGAGCAAAAGGCTTATCGAGCAGAAGAGGAGGAAGAAGAATAAGGGGTGATAATATTAGGGTATCTGCTTATTTATCCGCCAAAAATAGCGGAGAAACTTCGCCTCGAGTGAACTTGGTGTCTCTGGTTCACTATTTTCCGCCGTTTGATAATTTATATTTATAATTTATAATTTTATGTTCTTGTTTGCAGGGTTTATTCTGACGATTGGAGATTTAGAGCGCCAATAGGAGACTTTTACCCTAAAATAAGACCCGCAGAGGAAGGCTGCGTGCACCTCCCAATTGTTTTTATTTATTTTTATTTAGCTAGTATAGTATGCTCCCTCGGGAGTGTAGTTTATTTCTGCTCCCCAGGATTTATTTGAGTGAATTTTTCAATGGGAGATTTTAGGAATTACTTAAAATTTACTAAAATAATTATTCCAAAAAAATTTGAAATTTTAATTTTCTAACACAGGTTTTGTTTTTTTGGATAACTCAATGATGAAATCATGGCCCACCCCTTTTTTCAGATAAATAGGGAGTTAGCTCTTTTTTTTTTTTTTTTTTTCTAGATAACTTGAGAGTTAGCTCCTTTCTTTTTTTTTTCCAGATAAATCAGGGAGTTAGCTCCTTTTTTTTTACTTTTTTTTTCAGATAAATCACGGAGTTAGCTTCTTTTTTTTTTTTAAATAGATTAGAGAGTTAGATTTTTTTTATAATGTCATTAGGTGAATCAAAAGAATTGGAAACCAAAATGTGGTAACTAAGTATGGGGGGTGCTACCACCACAACCCACAACCCCTTTCCTAACACACAGATCTCACTATCTGAAAATTCAATTGTTTCTATTTAATCTCAAGATATATATTTTTCAAATGTACATAAGAGTAAAATTAGGAAGTTTTTAATTAGAGTTAATCCATAGGTTGAAGAGGTTACATCTCCAAAATCTAGGTCTCTAAAGTTAATTTTAGTTGGGATTTTATTGAGAAAAAAAATGTACATTCTACTCTTATGAGAGTGATATTTGAGTTTTCTAACCTATAGATCTTACTGTCTAAAGATTTAATTGTCTCTATTTAATTTTAAAATATATATTTTAAGTGCATAGAGGAGTAAAATTAGGAAAGTTTTTATAATATGTTCTATGGGAATTTAAAATCCTAACATTAATTTTAGGTGAGACTTTACCCAAAGGAATAAATATACATTTGACTCCACGGGAATAAAATATTTTAGGCTTTTTCCTCTTTGGGAAAATAGGTGCTAATGCAAAAATTGCGTAATAAAGTTTTTATTTTTTATCGGGGGATATTTTGAGACCATCGGGCCTACCAATATTGGGACACAAAACATATCAAGTCGCGCACATTTTTCATTTTTGTCTTTCATGTTAACGCCCATCTTCCTATGTTCGGGGATTACGTCCTTCAATTCATTTGTATTTGACCAATGTACCCTCACTACCGGGAGAAATGATCAGATTTGCCCTTGTGATAATGGTAATGGTCTGTTTAAGCTAACGTTCTATTTTTTTTTTAGAATAATAATGATGGAAAGGTTTCTATACTACCCCTACAGCATAGAAGATCTATGCTTCTCCTACCATCCAATCGTTGAATTTTGATCAAAATAGTCACTCACCATTTGATCTTAGATTTGACGTCTCAAAGTATTTTAGTTTTAGTTTTTTATACAAATTGTACGAATATAAAAGTTGGTACTGTCTCATTTTGGCGCACCTATAAAAAATATTAAAAATAATTTTTTGATAAAATTAAATGACCAAAATATCCTTTGAAGCTTTCAAGGGTATTTTGATCATTTTATATTATTGAAAATATATTTTTATATTTTTCGCTAGTGCGAGTTTAATAGAAGATTGGACGTACAAATTTTGGTGTTAAAATAGTTTGTAAAAAAAATTAAAAATAAAACAGTGTAGAGATGTGACATTGTGATTAGGGCAATCTTAGCCCTCTATTCAGAATGGATGATTAGATAAGGGGAAGTATATAAGTTTTATGTTGTAGGAGAAGCATAGAAAGCTTGCCCTAATTATAAAGGGACCCCATATAATTACTTATAATACGTAATGATCCGATTATAAGCAAAAAATACAAGGTCGGTCAACCTGCATTCTTTTTATTTTTTCAAAATTGCCCCTCGGTCTAATGAGAGACTGCATTTTAATTTTTCTTTTTTTAGTTTTTACGTTAGTAGGGCAGTACCCCAAGCTTTAGGGGTAGTATCTAGGTGGCCGAGGTTAGAATCCTTGGACTACCCTGGACCTGAGTTCTACTCAGTCTAGACTTTAGAAAACGATCTGAGGTCCCCATCCTTATACCACTGTTTTTCTCAAAAATAAGAAATAAAGTGTTATCCGAGGATGGAGATGTCAGACCATTAGTTTCTCAAAAAATAGGAAAGAAAGTGCATTATATCGTCAAAAAAAACGAAAAAAATAAAAAAAGAGCGGTCTGAGGATGGGGGCCTCAAACTGCTCAGGAACTAAGGTCTGCTCAGTCCAGAGGGTGGTTTGCAGATTCTAACTTTGAACCGCCTAGACACTACCTTACTAATGAAAAAACTGGAAAAAAAATAATTCAAAATGCGGTATGAGGATGGCATCCTCAGACTGAGGGACAATTTTGAAATAAAAAATAAAAAAAAAGCAGGTTGGCTAAATTTCTTTGTAATATCAGCCTATAATCAGATTATTTCATATTTTCATATAAAGTTTTCAGGTATGTACATAAATCACTCTTTTTCTTATAATTAAAATGCTAAAAGCTTATGTGGTCCTCGACAAGCACAATGTACATTTACCCATGCACGTAAAACCTAGAAATACTTTTTAAGATCCAAAATTTGAGGATGTAACCTGACGACCACCTTAAATGTATAATTAAAGATGCACCTAAACAATCCATCGAAAAAGGTTGTTTTAATGTTCAAAGACCCTCTAAATGATCATTTCGACATCGAGATATATGAATATGAAAAAAATGAAAAAAAAAAAAAAGAGTCCCATAAATAGTAACATACTATATAGACCATCCATTTTCAAGTTTTTCATATGCTTATAGATCTATTTGATTGTAACCATTTTTTGAGTTTAAAATTTTATAATTAGATATGAAAATAGATTTTCAGATAATCCTAAAAATCTTTTACACCAAAATTACATGTTATGATAATATTTGGAGATGCGCCTAAATTGGATTGTAACCTTATGGAAACCACACCCTTGAAAAAAAAATGGCTTTAGAGTTGAATAGAGAGTCCAATTTTTGAAAAGTTAGGTCCAAGTGTTCAAAAATTGAGAAAATATTTTATTTTTTTCAAAAATTACTCAGATGGTAAAGTCGACCTCAAAATTTAAGTTCAAAAAAAAAAGAAGGAAAATTGTTTCATACGGGCTGGACTGCATGACTATATATGCGATCCAAAAAGTGTAAAGCATTCGTCTTAAAGATGGATGCAAGTAGGTCTTCCATCTAAAAATGATGGAAACCACGGTCCAAATGTTTTCTTACTAGAATTACTAATTCTAGTTTTTAAAATTTACTAATTTTTTCATATTCATGATCTCCATGTTAGAGATTACATGTCCTTAAAAATTAAGTCCAAAAATCCATTTAAAAAATAGATTTATTAATACGCTCGCAATTCTACATATACGGGCTTGGCCACATAGAAACCGGATCCAAAAATAAATTCCTCAGTCTTGTGCCCTAGGGAATAACTGTATAGTGTGCTTTTGTGGGAACACATTATATATGTATATGTTCATCGTCATCATCATCCAACATCTTACCTCATTTATTTATATCCCATTTATTTAGGATACATGTACATGTTCATACTTAATAATATTTAATAAATGTCGGGAGATACACCCAAAAAAAAGAAAAATTGTTAGAAGCTGCCCTAATTATCATGCAAAGGTAAGCCATCGTAGTGGTGTATAGGTTTTTTGTCCCAATGTATAAAACTAATGGACCCTCTCATTCTTGTAGTGATCACCCAGATTATCGCAACACAAAGTAATACCATCAAGTGGTTTATGGAGTATGGTCCCATGGGCAACACTAACCCACCAAACTCGCAAATTGTCTTTACTCATCTCAAATATCAATTTCTAAGAAAAAGGATTTGGGGTTCTAAAACGATCCAAATTAATTCCCAAACCCCACCAAGCCATCCATTTGGTAAAGGATCATGTCAAAAATTTAAGAACTAATAATCTTATTTAAATAAAAGGGAAAATCACAAGGTAAATCAAAGATGATTTACAAGCATTCATGTCACAAAGCCCCCCCACTAGGTGTTTTGGCCTTCGTGTTATCTAGACCCAGATTATCGTCAAAAATAGTATACCATCCAATTTATGGTACACCATGGAAGATCAACCATTGTGTGTTTTTTTTTTTTTAAAGGGAAATCAGTGGGGATTGTTGAATTTGGCGATAGCCAAATCACCATAATGATAATCTCTTCTAAAGATTAAAAGTATTAATCACCCTCATGCCGATATTCTCTTCTAAACATTAAGAATATTATAGTAAAAAAGAAAAAAACTTTATTAGGAAGCAAGAAAGTAATTTCTATATAAGGGAGTCAATGAAGACATAATACACATCTTTTTGAAGTTCACATTTTTCTGGTATTCATAGGAAGGGATCTCCAAAAGGAGATGGATCTCCAAGAGAGAGAGAAAGAGACATAGCCTCATAGAGAGCCAGATTTTCCATTGGGATTTTGGGTTGGTTAAACTTTTACTTCCAGAGAGAGAAAATCTTTTGGTTACTCTCGATGTTATCTTTCTAGTGCGATATTGTGGTCAGAAAAAAGATATTGGCTTATGGTTCTGCACGATTGGGAGAGCAAGTTTAGAAGAGAATATCATTGAACGGTTTTTATTGATGTCTAGAGTAAGTTTATCTTTTGTAACTCAAATTTGTAATCTTCATTGTAATAGTAAATTTCTACTTGCCGAGACCGTTGATGTAGCCCTACAAGGAGAACCACGTAAACCTTGTGTTGTCATGGTGTGATTTTATTTTTACTTTATTTCTTACACTTCATTTATAGTTGTAGTCATTTTGCATTTAGCCAACTATGTACATGATCTTGGGTGGGATCTCGGTAATTGGATTTTCGGTCTAGCAAGTGAGGGGTTTATGAGGACCTACAATGACGATCCCTTACTTGTTT